GAAATGTCAAGGCGTCCATCTCTATTGCAATTAGAATCCCGGGCAACAAGAGAGATTTTCATGCCAGCTGTAATTTTTTCTGAGTAGGTTGTGGAAAAGGTGGAGCAGGCAACAGGCCAAAGAAGGTCTTCCTTGTGGCTACAATGGAGGAGAAAAGTTACCAATGAGTTCTTTCTGACTCTCTAGTTTACATCCACAGCTCCAACGTGACTGATTGAAAGAGCACCATAATCGGCTTCTTCCTTTTCCTTGGTTTTGTGAAGTAAATCTATATCAGTCTTCAGAGAGGAGTGGCTGTCAGTTCCATAGCCTTTTTCCGTAGTAAGTGTACGCCGGCTCACCATTCACCTTCACGAATGGTTCCGATGTCGGATCCACCACCGCCTCGTGAACCAATGGCCATGTCTTTATAAGGACCCGGCGACTCAGGAAGTGGTGTACGGCAGAGATCAGGGGGTTCTTGTCCCTCCGCCTCATTCCGGCGGCAGAGCAACGTCTCCCAAAATCGAACAGCTGAGGTATTTGTTTATCTACACGAGAGCCATAGCGGAGTCGAGGAGATTGATTGAGCACAATGATCTGACCAGCGCGAATCACCTGTTGGCTTCGTCTCGAGCATTGCTGGTTCAGTCAAACTCAATGTTGGCTGAGGAGTACGTAAGAGCTCTGGAGGCAGAGCTAGCGGAATTGCAATGGAGGAGACAGCAGATTTTTTTGGTTTTTCTTGTGCTTTCAATTTTCAGTCGTAGAAAGAAAGTGCTTCCTTATTATGTTAAGGATATTATTATTTGCAGATTTTTTTTATTTAATTATCAAAATGAGGCGGAGGGACAAGAACCCCCTGATCTCTGCCGTACACCACTTCCTGAGTCGCGGGTCCTTATAAAGACATGGCCATTGGTTCACGAGGCGGTGGTGGATCCGACATCGGAACCATTCGTGAAGGTGAACGGTGAGCCGGCGTACACTTACTACGGAAAAAGGCCGGAGATGACTGGGTTGATGCAGAAGGCTATGTCAGGAGTCTCCGTGCCTTTCATGAAAGCAATGCTAGAAGCCTACAGTGGGTTTGATGGGATCCAGCGCCTGGTTGACGTCGGCAGCAGTACCGGGCATTGCCTGAGGATGATTTGTCCAGGTGGCTTGTCTATCTCAGCATAAAAAATGCCACATCAGACGCAAAAAAGGGGTGGGTTAACGGACTGTTAAAAGCTAACGGAAGAATGGTGCCAGGGGGTGATTTGCCACTGAAAGTGAGTTAAGGGGGTAGTATGCGCGTGAAATGGGTTGAGGGGGTGATTTGCCACCAGTAAGTGAGTTAAGGGGGTGATCTGCACCTTTTGCCAAAAAAAAACATGTAAAACGATACAAAAAGACAAAACAAAAGGGTAATAGGATCGATGAACATGACAAGTAAATGTTCAGGAAAAAGATGAAAAAGCAACAAAACCCTTTCATGTGAACTCTGGTCCCGCACCCTGA